TCTGTCTCATAAGGACATATGCTAGTTAATGTGCATAGTGGACACAGAAGGACTAAAGCCTAAATTTAATACAATTCGGGTTCAGATCTACTTTGCTCTATTACCAGCACCTCACCGAGGACCCACTTCACACACAGTCATACCAGACTCTGCAGAACTGGAGCATTGAGCAGCGACATTGGCAGTGAATGTCACAGACCGTGAGGGCAACATAAAGATTGTGATGCTGTGCCATGGTTGGTGACAGAGGCAAGCCAAAGAGTGAGGCTAGAGAAGAATGAAGCCCTCACAACTGGTGACAGCATGAGCATCCCTAGTCTAAAAGCCCCAGATTGGAAACACTTATACTCTGAAAACTTTTGAGCATGAATATACTTTAAGTAGAAAATTTCTCACCAAGAAACTTTGTTTCTCATATACTATTACTATTAAATGTATAACATTGCCTTTTGATATAAGATGTACAGGGAACATAAATTTTGTTTATAGACTTGCATTCCATCCTCATGTCTCTGTCTCTGTCTCTCATATTCAAATACTACAAAATAAAAAAAAAATTCAATTTTTGATAAGGCATGCTCAAAGTGTATTAAAAGGTGTTTATTTTAGAACTATATTTTGAGTTTTCTACTTAATATAAATACAGTACCACTGAATATAGAACTACAGAAATATTACTGTTTCCCTAGCTCTAAATTGATGAATCCTGGCGAGATTATCTTATACATTTCTTTGTTTAATGGCCACATGACTGTCAGCTAATTTTTCCTTTTTCTGTCAATTTTATTATTTTTAAAATTCATTTTATTGGTACACTTTAGAAATACTTAATAATAACATTCATCATAAGGACTTTGTATTTGCACATGATAAATCTCGATTATTCTTTTTCCCCTCCCTTCAACCCATTTCTTTCTCATTTGAACAGCATTTATGTGTGTGTGTGTGTGTGTGTGTGTGTGTGTGTGTGTGTGTAGAGGGAAAATGTGTGAGAGTAGTATAACAGTAACAAAATAATCACAATGTAACAATAATATGGTTTTCAAAAAATTTCATGGCTACTGAAATGACACTTAAGGCAGTATTCTAGTTCCCACAATTCACTTGAAATGTCAGCCCTTTTGCCCATCCATGGTCTTCACCAGTTTCACGTTTGCTTGTTGAGAGGGCATCAATAACATGAACTTAGACTAACCTTTCCTGGCTCACTTACAATTTTTAAGATCTAGCTGGCTCGATAGCATGTTGAAGCCTTATGCTTAAGTGAAGTGAATGGGAAACACATGTGTAAATATTGCACTGTCTCTCTGATGTGAGAGACCAAAAGTGTAGATAAAGGATTAAAATATATAGCAAATATCGTGAAATAGAAAGAATATGTTCAGGGACCAGGGAGATGGCTCAGTAGAATAAGAGCTTCCCTGGCAAGCACAAGGGCCTGAGTTCAATCCCTACTTCCAGAAAAAAAAAAAAAACCCCAAAAAACGTTCAAGTGGGAGGGGGAGCTAGGAAAAGATGCACAATTTGTACATCAGATGGCATAGGAAGCAATGACCCCTGGCCATCTGAATTCTAGGTTGTTGTCTGGGAGGCAAACATTTTTCTGCTGGTTATCTTGGGTGTGGAAAGGAAGATATTGAGCTGCACAATGCACTATGGTGATTAGCTAATCAGTGAGAGTATTTACCACTTAATTTAACTCAAGTGGCTTGCTTCACAAGCAAAGGTTTATCTCAGCACTCAACAGCTTTTGGTGTTCCAGAGGCCAGACTCCTGCACCTATCTTAACACTTCACAATTACTCCCCGTCCAAGCCTGACACATGCCTAGTTTTCATGGGAGGAATGAAAATGTCCAAAGGGTTTGTGCATGAATAGGTAATTCAGGTTTTTTCTTCCTTTGGAGAAGACAATGTGCTTGCCAGACACAAAAATCTACCTAATGTCACCTTATGGAAAAATATAAGTAAATTTTAGGTCATCAGGCCTGGGCTCCACGTTCTCAGGGGTTCTTTCTGTATGTAAGGTCGGCTCTTGGCTCCTGATGCACATTCCTCTAGCGGTGGGATGAGCTATGTGCATTCGCCGCTGTCGGCCCCACGGTTCTCCTGCACCTGCCCTTCATGCCCCCTGAGGAGGCTCACACCCATCATCCTTCTAAACTTTTGCCACTTGTGATGTGAGATTACTTTATGTGCTTTTTAAACTTCCCAGTCATTCTTTTTAGCAAACATGCATTGCTTTTATAGTTTTTTTAAAATGAAAATATATTTTTCAAAAAAGAAAAACAAGCAAAAAACAAAACGGAACATCAACCCTTCATGTGGTTGTCATTCTCCTCCCCTGGAAAGTTTTCCTGACCAATTTCCAGACTCTCTAAACCCTGCTTCCCTATTACTCATGCCCAGCGCTTTCTTTCTTTCTTTTTTATTGAGAAATAAACATGAATGAGACAGTTTCAAAGCTGATTAATAGGACAGTTTCAATAACCAATACATTGTACATTGTTATCTTCTTAGTCGTTATTCACAGTACAAGAAGCAGACAGGATATCCTGTCCAAACACTATTAGTACACCTCTTTCTACTCATTGAATTAAGCAAAAGTAGCTGTATATCTATCCTATTTTGTATATATAAATACAAAATGATCTTTCCTTTGTATCCCTTTTCTATTTAATTTTTTTTTGTCCTGTCAGAGGTGGATATTCTATTGGCATCTAAATACTATAGGTGTTTGAATTCAGCTAAACAATCCAACACTGTCTAGTAGTCTATAATATTAGTGGGTTATCCTCATAAGTTATTGACTTGAGCCTGTTACAGCTCAGGATGAGCTTTATTTTTATGGCTTTATTTTATATACGTTGTTTTTATACTTTTCTGCCGGATGGTGAAGACCAAGGTAAAGCAGGACCTATGCAACAAGAGTTGTAGCTTTTGGGCTGCAGAGATGGCTCAGTGGTCTAAAGCGCCTACTTGGAACAAGCTTGGCAAAGCACAGGGACCGCGGTTCAATCCCCCAGCACCACATGCCAGCCAGCCGCGCCCCCTGGTGGGCTGAGCTGGCCACACACACACACACACACACACACACACAATAAATGTTAAAATAAAATTAAAAAAAAAAAAGAGTTGTAGCTTTTGGGTCTGATAAGGTCAGTGAAATCCCCTCAGGATTTATCCTGAGATCCTGTACCTCAGATTGTAGATCCTTTGTCAGTGTCAGTCATAAGGATGAGTCACGGCAATTGCTTGGCCAATGTGCTCTCTGTGAAAGCCTGAGAGAGTGTTTTCTCTCCATGTGACACTCCCCAGGCACAATATACATCATCGATCATATTCCTCTGTGACTCCATAATCTTGATCAGAAAATCTGGAGCACAACTGAGTTACATGTTGTTACAGTACAGGTTCTCCTATGTCCCGAGTCTTCACTGACTTTGAAAGGCTAGGGCCAGAATGTTGGCTGACCTTGCAGTCCTTCCTTTTCTCCAATTTTGAACTGCTAATTTAGGTTGTTAACCCTCCAGAAGAGAAGCTAATTATTAACCTGCAATATATGCAGTTTGGTTTACCCTATCCGTCTAAATAGCAAACATCTTTGTCATATCATGGAACAGGTATTTTCCATCAAATATTGATATGTTGAACTTTAAGTCCTTACAGAATATGAAGGAAAAATAATTTTATAAAAGTAGAAATAAACATTTACATATTTTTACAAAGAAATTTAGAAATCTAACCATATACAGAATTGTAACAGGACAGACTTGTGACTTTTTTTTTCTTATTCTTGTGTTTTTTTTTTTCATTTATTACCCTTTAAAAAAATCTTTACTTGAGAGACATTATGGCAATAAATGATATGTCATGACAAGAAGTACATATTTAGAAGACCAGGATGGCAGGCACTCCAAGCACGACCCCTCTATTACACATCGCCATCTGCAGTACAGTCACCTGGCTCACAGGCATCAGCATATAGAGTTATGTATAGTACAGTCAGGGTGAGAATCCCACCAGCCAACCACTAGTCTCAAAAACCTGTTGATGTACCCCAGGATCACTGCCCCACCCATCTTGCCCAGCGCTTTCTTCTGTGAATTCACAGGCTCTTGCCATCAGGACAAAAGTCATGAGGTTACTCAAAGTTACCCACTTTCTTATGCTTCTTTTCTTCTAGATCCATCACACCCAGCATCCCTTGATGACAGTGTAAGCCCATAAATTAGCTTAGTTGATAAGAGAAAGGGTAGAAACTTGAACTTAACAGAAACAGATTCAAAGTTTTCAAAGAGTGTTTTAGGCAAAATATCTTCGGTCACACATCTTAAGAAAGAAAGAAAGAAGAAAGAAAGAAAACAAGCAAGCAAGCAAGCAAGGAATAGACTGAATCCAGGCCTTTTTCTCATAGAAATGGAGAATAAAATGAGCTATTATCTTTCTAACAATGTGTGGCCCATTGCTTTTTTGAAGCCCAAACTCCTGGTTGAATCACACATTTAACAGATTTCTGCTGCCAGAAACACATAAGTAAATATTTCTAGCTTCAGACTCTTATGCACTCTGGAGGACCTACACTACTTTCTCTGACTGTGTATTTTACTTTTTGCCTAATGAATCTCCTGATGCTTCTGACTGATGTGTCCTGAGAATTCTTTTTCTGTGATGGAAGTCAGTGAATGTGCAACCCACCCTACGGATGCCACGGATCCAGGTTCCCCATCCTCTGTGTTGAGGAAATTGCCTTAGACCCTGGCTGGTGGACAGCAGGACCCAGCACCTTGCTCTTGAATAAAGAATGAAACTGAAAGAAACGGGCTCCTATGAAGGTTCAGGATATGACTGTAGCAGAAGAGCCATTACCCACTTCTCTCCTGGGTCCTCTCCTAGCTCTGGATGACACTTTTCCCAATACCTCTGCCCTGTACCCTGGGTAGCCTCAGCATGCCTCGGCCTGATCTCTCCTTGCATCTCCCAGGAGGCTGCCACCCTTTACCTGAGTGCAGTACTGCTTTTCCAGCCTCTGGCTCTCCTTTTGCTTCTGGCAGGTCAGCGACACTACGGACACCACAGTGCTGTTGTAGTTCTCCTGGGGGGACGCCCAGGATGTCAGGGCAGTGGTGGAACTTAAAACATGGACGCTCACGTGCTGGGGCTTCTCAGTCAATTCTTCAATCCACTCTCCGGTGGGACCTGAACGTTTGCAATAACACAAGGTACATAGTTATGTTGGTTAGAGGGAAGATTCCAGTTTTTTAAATTGTGCGGGTTTCTGTTAGTCCTTACAAAGACATTCAAAAGGAGACCAAGGTCACACCAGTGGCCCCTTTGGTGCTCTGCGTGGCTGCCTTCCTCAGCACCATTGTCTCCTCATTGACCAAAACACTGAAGCATCGGAACGCTTTTGCAGAGAGACAGCAACTCCACTTCAGTTGGTTGAAATATTTGAGTAAAATCTGCACCTGAAAGAATTTACTGCTAGTTTCAAAAACCTGCTGAAGATTATCAGGATCATTGCCTTAACTGTCTTGTGTATATAAATGTATGGCTTTGCCCCTAGCATGTTTCCTAGCTTTTCTCTTTGCCCTCTCTTCGTTGTTCAATCCTTAAATTCTCACTTTCCTTTTAATTGTGTTATACCTTTCTACTTTTATTTCTTCTTTTGAGTTCTTACGCTAGGGAGACTATGCGATATTTACACATCCTATAATATTTAAATGGCAAAGGAATACCCTTCTCTGACAAAACTAAACAAAAAAAGGGGATACAAATGAAAGATCATTTTATATCTGTATATACAAAATAGGATAGGTACACAGCTACTTTCTCTTAATTCATTGAGAAGATTGGTACTAATAGTGTTTGGACAGGATATCATGTCTGCATCTTGTACTATGAATAACCACTGAAAAGACAACAATATGCAATGTATTAATTATTGAAATTGTCCTACTGATCAATTTTGAAACTGTCTTATTGCTATTTGTTTCTCAATAAAATTAATAATAAAAAAATTACTTTTCTTTTAACAGAGTGAGTACAGCACATGGATATGCCTGATGTGTTACAAGAATCTTTGGTTTCTAGAAGTGAAGGCTCTTAGAGTCAAATTAGCTTCTCCTACAGACCTGTGAAAAAATTAGATATGGCAGCAATGGGAATGAAAAGGCAGGCAGTGACTGTGTCAGGCAGGAAACAGGCAAGGGGCTGGATCTGTGAAATGAGTTGGCTAACACCTGGGCATATGTGGCAGACACAGTGGGTTCCTATTACAGAGTACCTTCACGGAGGTGTTTGCTGTGGGCTCTGCGCTCTTAGGCTGCTAAAGTTTTGCTTAGCACAGAGCCCGTTTCCCAGCAAGGGCTCAAGAAATGCAAGCCTGCGACTTCCTCCTACTTGATCAGGATGTACTTTTTCATCCCCTAAAAGAGAGCTTTTTTTTTTTTTTTTTTTTTTTTTTTTTTTTTTTTTTTTTTTCTTTTTTTCTTTTTCTCAAACTCAGGAGAGGAATGGAGCCAGTTGTTGGGCTGGGGAGGGTACACTCAGGCTCGCTTAGAGCAAATGATGCAAGGGGTATGAGTAGGAATGGAGGACAAAGAGATGCAGCATGCAGTATATGCTAGGCTCTACATTCATATATATGGACTAATCTTAATCCTTGAAGTCTTGTAGGTCTATGATGTAAACACCATTATTAATCTCTGTACAGATAGGATGGATGGAGCTGGGGTTCACACACACAGGAAGTCTGAGTCTAAAATCCATGCTCTCACCCAGCCTGGGACTTCCTGGAGCACAGTGAAATAGTGAAAAGCACTTGGCTTGCAAGTAGAAAAATTGGCCCAAGACTCAAATTTTCTCAGAGGCAACTCTTGGGTAAATGCTCCACTCTCTCTGACTCTCAGTCACTGTGTCTGTCAAATGCACAAGCCAGGAGGTGTTAGGATCGAAAAACACTTTTCTGACGAGCAAACAAACTGAGGTCCAGAGGCCAGAGTTACCTGCCCCAGAGACTGCCCAGAGATAAGTGCTGAGACCTGGTAATCAGCCAAGGTAAATGTCATGGCAAGCTGCCTCGGAATGGGCTGTGTTGTCAAATATGACTAAAATCTAATCGCCATTCTGACATGCGGGAGCTTTCTGTGACTTTTTTTTTTTTTCACATTAAAAATGAGGATAGAAGGCCCTGCCACATAGCTCAGTGGATGAAAGCACCTGCTTAGGCAGATGCAAGGACCAGGGTTTGATCCCTGGCATACCATGCTGGCCCCGCCCCCGGGGTGTGCTGAGACAGCAACTGAGACTGGGCATGGTAGAGCGCAACTGTAGTCCCAGCATTGGAGAAGCTGAAAACAGCAGGATCACTGTGAGTCTGATCTATGCAGTAAGACCCCGTAGACCCTGTACTAAATACAATGAGAGAGAGAGAGAGAGAGAGAGAGAGAGAGAGAGAGAGAGAGAGAGAGAGAGAGAACAGGGGCCACAGAGATAGCTCAGTGGTCTATGCTCCTGCCTAGGCAAGCACAAAGATGTGGGTTTGATTCTCAGTATCTCAGGCTGGGCCAGCCCCGATACACCGAGCCAGCCACCAAAACCAGGCATGGTGACATACACTTCAGTCACAGTTCTGGGGAGGCTGAAACCGGATGATCACTACTAGTCCAAGCTATGTAGGAAGATCCTGTACCAAATACATAAAACTAAAAAATCAAAGAAACAAACAACCAAATGAGGATAATAAAATGTTCCCTTAATAAGACTGTCTGATACTATTATTACATCTACCTTCATTCTCACCTCTGGGAAAGCCTTCAATGCTACACAATTAAAGATGATAGTCCATTGCATATATGTAATTTATTTTTTTGAGACACTGTTTAGGCTGGCAATGCTCAGGACTCAGCAGGCTGTCTTTGAACTTGCGGCACCCCACCTGCCTCAGTCTTCTGAGTGCTGTAGTTACAGGTGTCTGCCCTTATGCCTGGCATACGACAATGTAACAAATTTTAGTGTAGTAGCTGAATACTGGAATGTGTGAAATAACGTGGTCAGAAAAATGGGCTGCGAACATTAGCTGGCGTATGACCACACTGTGTAGAATGAGATTACGTCATTCTAATTTGTTGCTCACCTACCCAGTTAAGTGCAAGCCTTTGTATGTGTCATATACTTCTTAGGACCAAGAATATTCATATCTTGTAAACTTGACAGCTCATTACCATTGGGTAGAATACTATAAACACTTAAATATATCACTCTTTTTATTGTTACAGAGAGAGACTCCTACTGACCTGTGTTTTTCTAGGTGATATTAAAATGTATGTCCTGAAGATTATCATAGATTTCAGCAACTTTGATATATTCTGAATTTTATGAGTTACTCTGGATTCTAGAGAACAACAGAGGAGCCAGTCATGCTGGTTTATGCCGCAATCCCAGCTCTTGGGAGGCTGAGGCAGGAGGATCTCTGTAAGTTCAAGACCAGCCTGAACTACATAGTAAGACCCTGTCTTAAAAAAGAAAGAAAGAAAGAAAGAGCAGAGGGTTTTTTTAATTAAAAAATATTTTATGTATTTGGTACAAGGTCTCACTACACAGCTCAGACTTGTAGTGATCCCTTATTTCAGCTTTTCCAGCGCTTGGAGTACAGATGTGTGCCGCCACACCCAGATTCAGTCACTGGCTCAGGGCTGGCACATCATGCAGCACCAGGGATCGAACTCGGGTCCTAGTACTTGCTTAGGCAGGCTCTGAGACCACTAAGCTATCTCCACAGTCCCAAAGAGCAGAATTTTAACACATCAAAGTGATTCAGTACATAGTTGTGGACTCTACAAAAGAAGAAATGAATAAACAAATAGCATAACCCTAGCCTTTTAGAATTTGGTATGAGAAGCTAAATAAACTAAGTATAGAAAAATTCTCCACACTAAATTCTGCATTTTTGTGTCGTGTGCTATGAAACAAGTCAGAGGAGAGAAACATCTAGCCCAGCAGGAGTCACAGATCGGTGTTAGTGGGAGCCGCCACGCTTGGGCAGCTTGCACTGGGGCACGCCGGGATTGCTTGGTTAGCAAAGCCTCTTTAGCCTCATGGGAAGAATGGAGCATCCACCTTTGTTCCTTACTCTGGGCAATCTCGCATCAAAGATCTCCCATATTTGAAATTCATGCAAGTTAATTACCAATATCCTTTCTGTATGTCTGATGGCTATCTCAGGCTTCTCAGCAGTGGGGACTTTGTTTCTCTGGCAGGAAGTACTGAATTTAGCTCCTTCACACTGACCTACAGTCCTCCTCCCCCTCTGAAAATATTTTATATCCAGACAAGGTCTTCCCTCATCGCTAATTGGCCCAGGCTGGGGTTGAACTTTTGATCTTCCTGCTTCACCCTCCCAGAATGCTGCTATTACAGGTGTGAACCACCACACCTGGCTTTGTTTTTGATTTTTTAAGTGAAAAGTGTTATACTGAGACATTTTCAACCTTTTCTTTTTGGTATTCCTAGGTTTCGAATTAGCACCTTGTACACACTAGGCGAGTGCCCTACCACTGAGCCAAGAGTCCTAAACTTTATTATTATTATTATTATTTTTGTTTTGGGACAGAGCCTCCTCATATTGCTCAGGCTGGCCCTGACTTTGTCATTGTCCTGCCTCAGCCTCCTGAATAATTTCTATTACAGTCACACTCTACCACCCTTGGCTCATTTTCAGTATTTTCAATTTCTATATAAACTGATCTCCTGCCTGCCTCTGTGTAGCCTTTTCTGTCCACTCATGAAGGACATTTGGAGACCCAGTGCTATTTTCCATTAAAGAAGAAGATAGAGTATTTGGTGGTCATTTCCTTCCAAGAGCAATTTTGATGCAGGTTTTCTGATTTTTCTTCCTGCTCATCAAGAGGAATAGTGAAGGGGGCCTGCCCCTTAGCTCAGTTCTTTAAGTGGCTGCTTCAACAAAGCAGTCAGGCTCAGGTTGCTGTGGTTGGATCCTCACAACTCAAGCCAGCCAAACCTGCCCTGAAGGCATTTGGAGCAAAAAAAAAAAAAAAAAAAAAAGAGGAATAGTGAAGTCCTGATAAGTTGCTCACTGCTGTTTACATCTAAGCTTCCAGTAAACAGAATCAAGGTAAAAGGATCAGAGAGACTTATTAGGCTCAAATAAATGCAGGCTAGAGATGTAGTATTGCTCTGTGACTAGCCCACACGGACACCGCAGGTGCCATCCCAGGACTTGATGTTGGGGCCTCTACGATTACCCAGCCTGTGCTTTTTTCCTGCTAACTGCATAGTGACCACCCAGTACAACTGCATCTAAATCCTCGACTCCAAGTGTCACACTCTAATGAGATTTTTTAAAAATATAATTCTATAATATTACATTTCACTGTAGCCTCAAAGAAGCCATATTTCCCAGACTATGTGTCCTTGTCCTTGGAGAGTTTGTCACGGCTAAGGTGGAAGGTCGGTTTAATAAATGTTCAATTATCACAATAGAAGAAAAGTCATCATGTTAAATCCCTGGATAGTGTGTTACCATTAAATATGTAAGCCTATTTCTTCTGCTGTCAAGGGCTCACGGACGTGGGCCTCTCCTGACCTTGAAGACTCCTCCAGACCCCCGAGGGTTGTGACTAGCTAACATCCAAGCTTCATTCACCTCCCACTCTCTTTGTTCTAGCTGGCCTATAACGTAGCATCATCCCTTTGCCACTTACTGATATAAAAGCTGAGTGATTTTGCAGACTGGCTCTTACGAGGTCCACAAAGTCCTGAGGAGCTAAAGGTTGTCACGGATAACTTATATTTCCCAGGCTCCTTCAGCTCTGCCACAAATTCGTGTGCTTCTTCATCCACCGTCAGATATTCAGTAAAATTCTCTAAATAATATAAAAAATATAATGTAAATTGCTACCATGAGAGGGCTCTGGGTATAGACAAAGCAATTAAATACAAACATAGGTATTTGTCGTAATAGCTCTTTTTTTCTTTCAAGTTCAGTTAATCCTCATCAACTAAAGATTTTACAAATAAAAAAGGTGAAAAAGGGGTCAGATTTTCTTCAAATACTTTAAAATATCAAAGCTAATATATGCCATTCAAATCAAAACCAGGGGTAGGTTTATTGCATGTTCTTGTGTTCTTTTACCCAATAAAACTTTATGCATTATAGAAAAAGTATGTTGGGATAGGATAACAATCATTGGCTTTTTCATTTAATGTGAGACATAAAAAATAACACCAGGATCAGGGAGATAGCTCAGTGGCATAACCACTTGCCTGGCAAGCTCAAGGTCCTGAGTTCAATCCCTAGTACTTCAAAAAAGAAAAAAGAAAACAAAAGAAATAGCTAACACTAAATATCTTATGGGTTCTTTGTTGTAGCATTAAATATTAAGACATGCTTTAAAATATACTGAATTAAGGGCCGGCCAAAAGTTCAGGGGATTAAAGCACCTGCAAGCAGGCGCACGGGCTGGGGGTTCTATTCCTGGGCCTGCCATGCTGGCCCTGCCCCCAGGGCAAGCTGAGACAGCAATTGAGACTAGGTGTGGTAGCACATGCCTGTAATCCCAGATTTTGGGAGGCTGCAAAGAGGTGGGTCACTATGAGTCTGACCTAATAGTGAGACCCTGAACACCCTGTAGATTCTTCCCTAAAATACAGAATAAATAAATAGATAAATAAATACAATAAAATATACTGAATTATTCCCCATTAAAGAAATATGGTATGCCATGTTTTTCTTCATCTTTTTGCTCCCAGGGCTCTTAAAATAAAGATCATATTTTTTACATTTTTCCAGCACCTATCTCCTGCTGCTTATTGTTTTAGCTGAAGATGTTATTATCAGTTGGTACCCGTAAGAGTCTTTGAAGGAACACACTGTACTGAGATAAAAGCATGATTGAGTCTTCGTGGAAAACAGCAGTAGGAAAACATTCTGAGTTACAAGGTGTGGTTTTTCATAGAATAAATTGAAGAATAGACAAGTAAGAGACAGATTTAAAAACAAGCAATTTCAGACAAATGAGTTTTTACTCAGATAATTGGAAGTGAAAAGGATTTCAATTTTGTATAATATTTGGGTATGGTGCTTGCTTGATCATCCAGCACCAAAGAATCCATAAATGTAGCTCATTCTAGTCAATAAAATAGAGCAAATAATATGTGACTACATCATCCTAATGTTTCACCATGAAAATAAGGCTGCCATTGCAATTTTGAGTTTTGACAATTTGACAACTTTTGCCACCCAAACTACTAGACTGCAAAATACAAAATGAAGTATGTTATTGTAAACACAGAACAAAAATAACCATACCAATCTATAAAGAATAATTGAGGTATGCCACAGCTCTGTTTTTGTGAATTACTGGGCTAAAATGTAAACAATGAGTCTCGAAGGCTGGGTAAGTGAATACAATCTACTACCCAGTAGCTATCACAGTACCATCAGTTGCTGCATCGTTCCCAGTTTCCTTGCAGCCCCCCTTTAGGAATTCAAGGAACACATTCAGAGGGTGTATCCTAAAAAGACTAAGAGGAGCTGGGCAAACTGAACCCAGGTCTCAGACTCTTGGAGGGGTAGTCATTTTATCAGAAGGATTCTTTTACTGCATGCTTCATAAATTTGCACATAAGAAAACAAAATTTCTCCAGCAAATTCAAGAATATTCTATGACAGTGATATTTTTAAGTCAAAATATTTCCATACACAGTCATACCTAGGGTTCCCAATTTTAATTTTTTTCTATGATTTTGGAAAAGGTGGCCATGTTTCAGTTTCTATTGGAAACATGGCCTCTGTCTCTGTGTGTCACCCAATGTACATTTTGAAAACAAAAATAAAATTTTACCAAATGCTTTTGTTTGTGAACTGAGGTACCACTATATATGGATTTTCACTGAAGGCTTCAGATATGTGAAATGCTGGGCAGTGAAATACATATAACTTTCAGTAATTATGATTTGTGAACCTCTCAAGCTTTCTGATTTGGATTTAACCTATTCTGTGTGGTTTTCTGCTCTTACCATGCATGGAATATTCATTACTTTCTATTTCATTTTTTCTTTATTTTGTTTGATGTCTTTAACCATTTTTCTTTAGATAGTAACTCTAAGTCTTCCTTTCTAAACTTAAATTTTAAAAAAAAATTCAATTTCCATTCCTTTGTGCCACTTTTTATCTCTTCTGATTTCTTACTATTTTACCTTCTCTTTCTATAAGAATGTGGAAACCATCAAAGGCAGTAGGTGGCTTGGGCGGTAACCAGCTCAGTATCATTTGCACAGGGAAGAAAGTCAAAGAGCCCGATGTTGACTTCTCAATCTCGCTCCGGTTTCCGGATTCCATGGGCAGGACAGCGACAAATTCATCTTCGTTTTCAGGAGTTGCCGATGCACTGTCCCACCAATAAGGCTGAGACGTGGTTTCATAGTCACTGCTGTTGAAATCGGGCCATCCTGACGAAGTATTGCCAGAGGGACTCTCTGGAGTGTCATCTGTGAAATGGAAGAGTTTGTCTTTTCCTGTTGAATCTTGTGATTTGATGAATGATTCTTCTGGGAAACTGCCACTCTGTTCTTCCCAGTTCTGTTTGTTCAGGTTTGCAAAATGAACAGAAATATTTCGAGGTGGATATGGGGCTGTAAAACAGAGAATTTTCATTTTTAAAAAAATTTAACACTATTCTACTGCTTATTTACTCTAGAAATGAGTCAAATATACAAGCAGATTCACAAAATGGAGTTTAAGTTTGCTCCTAATAAATAGGAAATTTACATGAAGAACAATTGTGGTTTTAAGTAGACATGCTTCTTACATGTAATGGATCATGAGGACGTATTAGCAAAATACCAGTCATGATGCAACTACGCCAAGTTGTGATATGATGGAAGTGGTAATTTAATCCAATACAAAGCAAAGTTATGGAAATATTCTTCAGTTTAACATACTCTCACTTTAAAAAAAAAGTGTCTCTGCCTCTGGATCATAATTTGTAGAAAAACACCAAATATTTCAGTTCTAGCTATCAGCACAAGAATGTTCCATGTGACAAGCGCACACTGCACCTACAAGCTGTGCAGACACAAATTGCCTTTAGAGGTGTTGATATCTTTGTTGGAAATATAGCTTCACTCTGCACTTCTCTAAAATGAAATGTATGAGCACAAAATGGATTTATGAGTTACAGAAACAAGCACATGCTGCATGATCTCTGCCCACAGTGGTTGCCAACTGTCCTTCACACAGCAGCTCGACTACCAGTGCCTCCAATAAGGATCAATCTTCCCTTTTGTGCTGTTAAATATCTTCAAACCTCTTTTGTCACACTTATCTTGTTCTGTCTTGTACTATTGCTGTTTGTACAGTTTTTGTACCATTTTTTGAGGACAGGGGCCCTGTGTCTCACCAGGCTTAATTAATAAATATGTCTTTGCTTGAAGTGAATAACAAAAAGCACAACAGAACATTCCATGTTGGCAAGGGGTGATGGGGCTGCTCAGCTGAAATGATTTCCTTTCTTGGCCTAAAGAATGAGAGTCAAGACTCCTTAGACTTCCGAAGACTTAGCATCTTGGGGAAGACCTGCCAAACTCTGCGCTCATGCTGGGACAGTCAGTGCCGCTTACACTGGTGATGGGTGCTAGGTAAATAGACATTTATATTATCCGTCATATTATTAATTCTTCTTCTTATTGATTCTATTAAAATTAACTACTGTAAGTTTTAGAAACATCAGAATCCCAATAATTTCTTTTTAATAATCTGATGATCTGTATTACAATGTCTATTCTCTGTTTTTTTCTGCTATTGGACATTTGTCAGGTTATAGAATAATAAATCTCTTATTAATCCAGTTAAATTACTTGACTATAACTCTTATTAATGTTATAAATCTTTCAATTTGAAGATGATAACACTGGTGATATGGATGTATTTTAGATTTTTCTCATTGAATATTTTGCTGTATTCTTTTACAGTGATTTAAACTTTTTATATTATTGATAACATATGTATACTTTAACACATATACTTATTTTTCTTAGCTTTGTAGACTATTTCTTAGAAAAACAGAAAATAAATATGTCAACATGCAACTTAATGACTTTTTTCTCTAAGTTTGAGTTTTTCATTAGATTTACCAGTTCTGTGCTGCTTGGGTTCATGACTGACACCACTATACTCCACGAGGGTACTTTTATTAAAAGTTGCTTCAGACACCAGCTGAAAGGTGATGTTACTATAACATATTCCTGGCAGCCAATGATTAAATACTGTTTTTCCCTTAAAGAAATCTGTGAAGAGAAAAATCAATTACATTAAAAGAAAGATCTTTGAAATGTCACACACTTGTAGAAAGTTCTAACCAATTACAATTCAGTATCTATAAAATAATATTTTGTTCAACTTCTAGAATGATCAATAAAAAATCAGAAGGCTAGAGATGAACTTTTGAATCTTTACACTCAATCCCGATGATCTTTCTTTCTGCTAGAATTTCAAAGAGTGCAATATTGGAGTTAAATTTTTATTATAAGATTGTTCAAAGGGAAGGATCAACTGGGAGGGGGGAAAAGAGAAAAGAAAGAAAGCAGGAAGAAAAAAATATGTATCTACACAGTATAGCTTGGATAATTGTGTTGCTGATTTCTACTGGTTTATTGAAAGGAACAGTTAATGCTCCATTTTTTTCTCTTTTTAATATTTTCAAACCAATTTTATATGCTATATCTGGTAATCTGAACAACTAATTTGAAAACAACAGTATACAATATTACAACCATTGTTGAGTTCCTATCATTTTGTTTAGTGAAATTCTGTACCGTTTCTATTTATTTTTTTACTATTTTTGTTCTTTTTTACAAAAGAACAAAAAAGTATGAAATATTGCACATAAAACTATAGATATTAGGCTTATGTTAGCCATTGATTTTAAGATGAAAACCAAAGTATTTTACTACTTTATGACCTAAGAAATAGTAACTTTACAAGAAATATTTTAGCTTATGGACACTAGCCTATTTTATAGGTATACTGTTTTATCTTCCAATAATAGGCAGAAACTGTTCAAAGAAAGAAGAAAATAAAACTTTATTTTAAAAACTTTTTGAAAATTTATTTTAGTACAGGGTCTCACTACACAGATCAGACTTATAGTGATTCTTCCGTTTTCAACCTCCCAAGCGCTGGAAGAAAGTACAACTTTAGACTTCACTTAGAAAGTCAAAAAAAGTTTAAAAAACAATTCATGTCTAAAGAAATTAAGGAAACAAACTAAAAACACCCAAGCACTTGAGTTGCTGTCTTAGAATACTTTGAATGGTTTATCACCTGGGCTCTTTTTTTTTTTTACCTTCCTTCCCCAAAGGTTCTACCAAAACAGTACAAATAATGAGGTCACATTTGGTATATTTAATGTTCTTGTTAAGTTGGCCAGATAGGCCAATATATACAAGACGAAACTAAAAATGGTTGCCTTTGCCTTTGGAAAGGCATCTTGAACATCTTCAAAGTGACCCTTGGTGGGGGCAGCCCTCTTGACACCATCTGCTAATGTCCTTCTAGCATCATGGGTGTGGTTGCTTTAAACTTCTTTGAATTTATTTCCTGCAACGGACACTCTGCCTTGGGGAAAAATAACATGTAATTGAAAATAATTTGAGTATTTCTCATACTGTATGCATGACTTGCGATTCTCAACTAATGAACCAGATTTTTAATACTCTTCATAACAAGATTTTCATGAATCAGTAGCTATTTTTAATGGCTCATTTGAAGGTCAAGTAGTGAGTTATAGAATGTCTTTAAACGTGAGGGAAGAGACCATTTGGAAAAAGTCATGTAAAAGTTAATCATCACCATTTACTCATCTTTTTGTCTCTTACCTTTATAAAGCATTGTCCGGAAATCTTTGCCTTCCCAGTAGCTTATATTTACTCTTGTGAAAACGTTATATTTTTCTGGATAATGAATTTCAAACAGAACTCCTGTTTCAGGAGAAGGTTTATAGTCATATATTGAAACACTGGTCACAGGTAGAGGTTCTACAGAAGGGAAATGCGGAAAGGGGTGAAAAAGAAGAGAGAAAAGCCATTATCCGTTTTGGAAGGTACCAAGCATTATGCCACAGAATATTTATTTACATTTTTATGTTCTCTGAGTACAGATGTGTCAGTACTCATGATGTGAGTGTTCTCCTTAGCAATAATTAATAAAGTACATTTTATATGGTGATTTGTGCTTATCTAAGAACTTTCACATTCATTTTTCCACTTGCAACAACCCTGAGACGTGGTAGGAGCAACCATTCCTATCTCCACCCACAGATAGACTTAATGTTAACTCAGAGACTTTGAATTACTTGCCTTGAGCTATGTAACAAGTTTGTGGCATAGTCTCTACCTCTTGATTCCTAGTCACTTTTTTTCCCCTCCTACAAAGAAAACTTGTTATGAATAACAAGCCAATAACAGAAAGTATGTTTTGGCTCTGGTTAATGATAAATATCTACATGGTCATTTATTTCTTCATGTGAATTTAACATTTATTTTTAATGTTATATATAAAGTAACCAATCATTCAGTGTTGTAAAATGACAGTTTGCATGGTTATCAAACCACTCTACAAAGAAGCTTATAGATTTATTTCTGGTTTGCTTGAGTTGTTAATTCATCATGAAAGTTTTATAATACTCATTTAAATATCAATATATTTCTGTCTCTTGAACATATCACACTTTGGCAAATTTCTTATAAAATACTCATACTTCTCTACCCTCCTGAAGAAGCTAGTGAATAAATTTTATCTATATTAATTTTATTAAAATATTTTAAATAATTTAGCTTGGAGTCAATTATTGGCTAACTGAAAAAAAATAAGTTTAAACTATTATAGACAACTAAGTTAGATAAAAATATTATGGGCACCCACACAAGGAGAGGCTCTTAGTAGAACCTATGCAGAAGATGCCTTACAACTGTGGGAGAGACAAGCACCTCTGCTGTGAGCCAGAGTTCAAGACAAAAGATAAAACAAATGCACCAACTGACATTCTAAGTAAGTATCTATCATCTTGAGAAAGCCAGAAAGAACCACTAACCCAACCCCTGGCAAGAAAAGACCCTGTTCTATATTCATGCCCACTTACTATGTGATTCACTTCCCCCATGTGATCCTGACTTAGTCCCTTCTACCTGAGCAATTATACTTGTAATCTTACTGGTTGGTCATACTTTCGTGCCATCTCATGCCCACCTGAAATTTCTCATTTTTCCCACCTTAGACACATCTCATGTCATGGATTTGCTCTATAAAAATCCCTAGAGAAAGCAGGGGTCTTGGCAATCTACTTGGGACCCCTTTTGTCTTTCTCTTTATCAGACAGAATCCTTCTTTGCCCCAATAACTATAGGCTACTCTAAACCTTTGTTGTTCCTAAAATTCATTCGTTAAGCACAAGCTTGTGCCAGATATCTAGCAGGTTGGGAATTTCTTTCGCTGTATCAAAAGTTTTCAAATGAATATCCTTGGACAACATCTATAGCTTAAACTAAAGCAAAATACTTCAATATTACACTTTTAGACTCTTGGCAACAACTTTCAGTTGTTCTAATATAAGAAATCAAAACTTGACTTAAAAAGTAATTATTGAAAACAATCTTTCTCAATCTGTAACAATGTATTTCCTTTTATTTTCTTTTCTTTAATGTATTTAGTACAGGGTCTACAGGGTCTCACTACACAGATCAGACTCATAGTGATCCTCCTGTTTGCAGCCTCTCAAGCACTGAGATCATGGATGCACACCTCCACACCCAATCTCAATCACCGTCTCAGCTTGCCCTGTGGGTGGGGCTGGCATGGCACTCCAAGGATCCAACCCAGTCCCTGCATCTGCCTTACACAGGTGTTTTAATCCGCTGAGCTATCTGGCCAGTCCTCAGTATTTCATTCTCTTTCTCAACATCTTAACTTATTTTTGCTTTTGTTTGAAGAGATTAAGTGAGAGCTAAAGCTACATGTTAAAGCCTTGATTTTTCCTGGAACTTTTTGATGAAACGAAGTCTACATTTATGAAAATGTTAGGAAAGGCTTCTGATGCTAACACACTTTGAGACAGTGTCTCTGGCATAAAAGTATTTTATTATTTCCCCATCCCTGATCTTTTTACATAAAGGTCACATTTCAGAGTTCAGAGCAGCAGAGAAGCAGAAGGAAAAGAAGTCCGGGGAGCTTTATTGTCATTGAGGACACGGAGAGGACTGCATGGAGATGGGAGGGACCCTCCAACCTGAGAAAAAGGGAAGCTGGGGTCATATGTGTATTTGCCAACGGCAGAGTTTATGGGGCAGGTTCAGTGACAGCTAAGGAGCCGATCGGAGCTTCCCTTGTGGTGCAAAAAAGGTAAAAGGAAGCTGTGTTTGGGGTTGAGGTGGGGGTGAAGGGGCTGGCGGTTCCTAGGAAGGTAAGCTGTTGCTTTTCTTATTCAGCCATGTTGAACCAGGGCCATAATAATTTAGCAGTTTACACTCTGGTCGAAACCTATCACTGTACACTGTAGACAAACCAATCACTCTGAAAACTCTGAGATCTGAGCTCAAATCTCTCAAAGTTTTGAGTGATTCGGTCCTTTTGGCCAAAGCAGCCTAATCACTAATCAAGGGCCTCAAGGGGACCTAGCTACTGACTCCGGGTGTAGGAGAATGACAATGAAGCAAAGCCACAGAACAGCCAAGCAGTTACGCTGTCCTGCTGCGGTCCTGCTTCCCACCCTTCCCAGGGTTCCATCAACTGGAGAGAAACCTTAGAGGACCATCGACTTGCCCAAGGCCTGAGGTCCTGGCACCAAAGCTGCAAGCAAACTTTGGAATCCACAACACCCATGAGGAATTATTTCTTTTTTTTTTTTATGCCGCAAACTTTACTTAAACTTTAAACTGAAAGAATTTCTAAAATGCCTACTCTCGGGTTGGTTTTAGATATTTCTCCCCACTCGGTGTAACTGGTTCTGGCCATCTGTCAATGCTAAATTCCATGTTGAGGCTTGCTCCAGCCAAGAATTACTGCTTTTAGTAAAATGAAAGTGCTAAAAAAGCGTTGGAAATATTCTACCATCTCCCCAGTTACATGCCTCATCATTTTCCTTTTAAGAAATTAAGAGTTGTGGCATTAATTAGAGCCGTTATTATCTACGTGTATTTCAGGGATGACAAGGTTAAATGCTAATCTAAATTCAGAGCCATTTCCCTGTCAGTCGCTGCACTGCATTTTCTGTCGTTATTTTGGGAGTTACACTGGAAAAGAATTGGAGGTACTAGAAAATGTGAACCACTTATCATCTTCATCGATTACTTTCTTTAAATTAAAAAAACTAGTTAATTAATTAATTAATTAATTAATTGGTACATGGTCTCACTATGCGGCTTGGACTCACATTGATCCTCCTGTCGCAGCCTCCCCAGCACTGGGATTACAGGCGTGCGTCACTATGCTCAGTTTCGGTGGCCCTCACAGCGTGCCCAGCATCCGCTACCGCAGATTGAACTCAGGTCCCTGCATTTGCCAAGGCAGGTGCTTATATTGCCGAGCTATCTCCCCAGCCTGTATTTATTTTTCTGGAGTATGTCCATGTATCAGTCTTCCTTATTTTTGTCACCCTGAGGTGTGTGAAATTTTGCCTCATTAACTCACAAAGGAGGATTTTTTATATGGTCATCAGTCATTCAGACTCTTTGTTTAGAGTTATTTGACTATTTTCCCATTGTTTTTCAACCATTCCTGCTACTGTGTGATACAATCTTTGTCACAAGCCACATTCCTACTGTCTTGTCCTGTGCTTTCCTTTGGAGTCACTAGTGTGTGTGTGTGTGTGTGTGTGTGTGTGTGTGTGTATGTGTGTGTGTGTGTGTGTGTCTGTGTGTACTGAAATATATTTTATATTTGGTATTTTGTAGTAACTACTAAAAGATGTACCTGAGACTGCTGTTTTTCTGAAATAAAAACTAAAGAAACAATGGGGAAGGGGCCAGCAATCTTCCCTACTAATCTGATAGACCTAAGAGTATGTTTGAAGGAGGGGGAACTTGTAATTAGGTGCTTCCTCCAGTGGCAGGAGAAGGAAGAAGGGATTAAAGCCAGGTCAGAGCACTGCGTTATGTTTAGATGATGATTTGAGTCCTGTCCTGGCAGTAGAGCCACGTGCATTAAGGAGACCATAACAGCAGGCAGGCAGCACCCCCTGCCCCCATAGCTCAGGAACGGTGCTGACTCACATCTGCTCTCTTTGCACATGTTTTCACTGTTTCCTGGAACTTTTACACAGCTAAATTATACTATTCTGCCTCCAATCCCACCTTCGTTGCTCTTATTTCTTTCTGACCAAAACATCTAAGCTTGTTGGCTAGTTGATACCCAATTACGTGACAGATCACTTCAGCAAACTACAGACCATGAGGTCAAATCTGTGCTGCAGCTCGATTTGGGTTGACTATTGAGTGAAGGGCAGGCTTTGCATTTCTAAGCATCGACAAGAATTGAAAGGACAATAGTATTTCATAACACATAATAATGATATGAAATTCAAGTTTTGGTGTCTGTGAAGTTTTATGAGAGCACTGACATGCTCATCCACTTTTATTTTGTCTATGGCTGTCTTCTTCCTGTGGAGCAGAGATGGGTCTTTACAAAATAGATAATGTGACCCTCAGATATCACAGTTTAATTATCTAGGGCTTTACAAAAAATAATAATTGCTAGCTTCTAGAACAGGCTACAGATCTGAAAACAAACTTGGAGAAAGTCAGTATCCATATTAGGCTACCTACATGGGTTTTCTGGTTTCTTTGACTGAGAAGTTCAGGCTTTGAACCATTGCCCCAAGTAATGCCTGCTAACTGGTCCATTCCAGTGCAAGACTCAGCTATCCTATAAGAAAGCAGTTTCTCCCAATCAAATCTTATATCATTTCTTTCATCTGTCATCAATACTCAGTAGGTCGGGGCTGGGGAGATAGCTCAGTAGAATAAGCACTTGCCTGTCAAGTGCAAGGTCCTGAGTTCAATCCCCAGTACCGAAAAAAAATACTCAGTAGGTCAAGGTCTAAACCCCTTGCAACATAGTTTAAAGTTTCTCTGACACTTCCATCCACCTTTCCTGAAGCTCTGAAACATTCCATGCTTGCAAGCTGAAGTCAAATTCTACACTGGATTCAACCTCTAAACCATTTGTAATGATTGATACATTGTGTTAACTTGAAGTGTAGAAGTCAACTTCTACACTGGGGTACTTTCTGTTCACCAAGTGTGAGGTGATGTTCATCATGTCCCCATTCTTTTGCACATATGATTCTTTTAGACCCTGACTGTAATCTTTATCATTTTGCCATATAATCATTACACTTGCACCAGTGGTTTCTTCTGCAGTGCCTTCCCAAAGTTTTAAAAGAGGTGAGGCACTCTTACATGTAACACTTATACAATTTTAAGTCTTTCATTTTTCTTTTCCAGTATAATATTCCATGTCTGATTAAAAGTATTTTCATGTACTTTCATTTCTCTGACATCTAGACTATCACACAGAAAATGTACCTTCTAAATGAAATTAAAACTCATGGTTACCTTTATTTATAGCAGGTTTGTAAAGAATAATACATATATATTTGTAGCATATCTCCACTTGTACTGTGCAGTGTTTTCTGTCAGGCTTTCTAGTGACATGGAGACAGCTATGTTATATTACACCTCCCTAATTTCTAAACCATTTGTAATGGTTGATACATTGTGTCAACTTGAAGTGTGGAAGTCAACTTGAAGTGTAGAAGCTTAACTAAGTAACTCAGCAGTTCTACATCCTGGGGTGTAAAGGACATGCCCTTAACCTCTAAGATGTTGTACATTGTGTCAACCTGAAAAGTTTAGAAGTTTAAGCCACCCAGCAGGGAGCCAGGATCCCTACTTTATAAACATCTTGAATCTGTGCAACAGGAGGACCTGGAGAGGGTGTAGGCAGATAGCCAGCATACAATATGAGGGAGGAAATGAGGCTCGCTTTCCTCTTTTTTTGCTCTTACTGCTTTTGCTGTCTGCCACCTTGAACAGTTGCTCCTGCGCCATGCCACCCTACCTTGGAGCCAGCTGACTGTGGGCTGAAACCTCTACAAACCACAAGTTAAATAAACCTTTCCTTCCTTAATTCAGGTGTTGAGGATTTTGCCTTTGAAATGAGAGAAAAGTACCCAAGACATCATTGTTTTTAGGTATTATTTTCTCTACAGAGAAATTACTCCTTCCCTCTGAAGTACACATATTATATTTGAGGCTCTCAGCCAATTAAACATTAATCAGATGCCTGAGCCTAAGGGTTGTGAAATTCTTTTGAACTGGCCAAATGACTCTGTTGTGCTGATTTATTCTTTGCTGTTTCTCAATTTTCTGTGGAAGTACCAGGCTCAGAACACTATAGGGAAAAATCAAAGGACAGCCCTTGGGCCATCTGGTTTGTCACTGTTTCTTCCATCAACAGGAGCATCTAACGTAGTCCTTGATCACAACAAATACTTGCTTTTTCCTTCCAAGAGCAACATGTCAGCTCTGTGAGCAGATACTACAAATGCTTTCTAGATTAAAAAGTCTTTTCCATTAGAGAAATAAAGATGGCAAAAATATACCTCTAACTGATGAACACTGGTAATTTGGGGCTCGAAAGTAATCGGTCGTCAAGCTTTTTATTCAAAGAGGATGCTGAAAGCCCAGTGTCACCTGAGGCTAGCTCAAGTCTAATGTTACAAATATTTTTGGATCTTCAGATTTCACGTTCTCAACTTGTTATTGCACCTGAAACATGAGATAATGTTCTTGAACCTTTGAAAATGAGTTAGCGCTGCAACAAACAGTCACCTGGCAGTCTCTTTTCCTGGGTGGCTATGTGAGGTATGCTCAGGAGTGTGCTGAACACTGCCACTGTCTGCCATCCTACGCTGAGGAAGGCTGCTAAGAACGTGGTGTGTCCCCACCACCTCCTTCCCTGCATCTGGTGCCCTGTGACTTCTCTGGCTCTTTTCCAAAGTTGAAAAGACCATGAAAGGTAAACATTCTGAACTGATTCAGAACATCCAGGCAGTCACAATGTCAGTAAAGCCAGGAAAGCGGGCTTCCAGAGCTGTTTTAGAAAGTGGCAAACATGATAGGGTGCATGAACCCTCCTCAGCGGGGTGGGGCGTTGTATGAAGGGAGAATATTTTGAAGGGGATACATGGTAATGTGGGTTGTTATTTTTTACTATGATGTGTTTTTTAAATTAAAAGCTTCAATGTATTTTCTTATGTCATGTATGCAAAAGGGCCCCCTATCACTATCTAAATTGACAGCCATGAACTACATATAGCCTAAGAGGACTTAAAATGAGCCTAGTGCAGTTAAGGGGTTGAATTTTAAATTTTACTTAAATTTAATTATTTTATGTTCCAAAGTAAAAAAATTTGTAAATTTTTATACTGATTGAATGTGGAAATAATATTTTGAATGAAATAGAATAACTATGTTATTAATTTCACTGTATCAAATGTTTTTTGCTGTGCTTTTCAGGAAATTTAATATTATAGAATGTAGTTAATAGTGTACTTTCATTGCATAGTGCAGTCTTAATATTCAAAAGGCATAAAACAAGATCCATCTCTATGCTGTCTATAGAAAATATAGTTAAATGTGAAGGAAGAAGGCATTGAAAGTTAAAGGGTGGGACAAATATTCTATGCAAATACATACCCAAAGAAAATCAAAATAGATACATTAATATCAGACAAGAAAGACTTCATCACAAGGCATAAAAAGGTAAGGAGAAACATCACAGGTTGATGAGAGGTCAGCTCATTGAAAAAACATAGCAAGTCTTAAGATTGTCTGCAGCCAGCAGCTGAACAGCAGAGCTTAAAGACTATGCAAAGTATAAACTAAAAGGAAATAATGGAGACAGACAAATACACAGTTACAGGTGGAGTATTTTACACTCTTTTACCTGTTCCTATCAGAACAAATGCAAAGCAAATCATGAAGGATATACTGAAATTAAAATAGTCAACTTGACCTAATATTTACTGAACCTTTACCCAATAAATGCTCACAGAATAAATAGCAAGACAACCCTGGCTTGAATTTATAAAGTCTCAGTCATTTTCAAGTTGTTGAAATAATAAGAAATATGCTCTTCAATCCCAATAGCATTTACTCGAAATCCATAAAAAGAAAAATCCTCTCCAAAATTTCCAAATTTTTGTACATTCAATACCGTTCTAAGCCAGAGGTCAAAGAAGATTTCACAGGAGAAAATGGTAGCTATTTTAAACAGAGCACACTGTAAATGCTAAAATATCAGTGAGGTAGACCAGAAATCTTTTAGCATTTACTTATCAGATTTCTTTAAGAACCTCGAATAACTGGGCTGACTGCTTTAGCTGCATCTGATGGGAGTCACCTGGTGGAAACTAATAACTGTTGGGTCTGCAATAGTCATTACAGTTCTATATTCTATTTTGCTTTATCTTTTGGTATTTTTTACTTAATGTTTTGCTCAACTAACTGGAATTCTTAAGCATATTACTTAGAGTAGACATTTCTGAAATTATGAGAGTGAGTCAGAGCAGTGATTTCAAGTTTATACTTCAAGCATTATATATTTAGACCTATCATGTGACTCTAATTCTTAATTTATTTTTTAAAAATCTAGATCTTCTTCAACACAGTTTCCTAATAGGTAAGTTCTTCTTTTCATTCAATTAGTTCCTAGGTTTTATGTTTATAAATCTTGAAGATCTTGAGTCTGGTGCTGTTGTTAAGTTTTAGGACTCATTGTTAATCCTGTGGTGGCCAATGGAGACTGCAACTCATTTTTTGACAACCATATCCTCTAGCTTGGTTCCAAGTTTTTTCTTTTTTCTTTTTTTATCCTGGGGATTGAACTCGAGTCCTTGTGTATTTCTCTGAATTCAAGGCAGACAGGCTCTTGTGCCACTGAGCTATCTCCCCAGCCTTTTATTTTTTCTCCTCCTTTTAACATAGAGGACAATATCACTACATCCTTTTCCATGATCAGGGCCACAGTGACAGAACACAGCTGGGTTTTAGCAGTCATAGCCATTGGAAAGCTTGTCCTGAAGAGCAAAAGTAAGAAGAGCTTTGCTGGGCTGTTCAATTGTTCTACTGATAGACTGTGTCTTACAGATACCATTTTTTTTTAACATTCTGTGGCATATACAGAAGCATTGTATTTCACTTGGAATTAGATGTTAAAGAGTAGAGTGAAAAATAGCTATAGTTAGAAACACTCCTAAAATCCTCATAACACCAGCAGTAACTTTATGCTGAAAGATAAAAATGGCTGTATATGTATTTTTCTTGGGTAGTAAAAGTCAAATAAATAAATAAATATATATATGTATATACATGTGTATATATATATATTTCATTGTCTCTCAGTTTAGAATGTATTATTCAATTTGAATAAGACACATGTGATGATAAATTTGTTATCTCAGAAACCACATTGCTTAATATGACCATATATATTCTGGGGGGAAAAACAAACAAGTTATAATCACCCTATTAAGTTGAAAATACAGCTGAAAATCACATGACCGAATCATTAATCTGAAATTGTCGTTCAGACTCAAAACATGCTACCTCAATGAAGTTGATATTTTTTGGGTAAAACTGATTTTGCTTAATAAGAGTTAAATAGTTAATGTCACAAAACTTTGGTAAGAAGCTGTATTCCTGATACAATGCAGAACCTTGAATGTATATCGCTTGACTGGAAGTCAAGTGATTTGTAGTCTGGGCTGCTCATTTAACGCAATAACCCACGAAGACACACTCAGAGAGGGAACAGAGGACGATGCCACACACGATGCTTACTTGTTAACACAGTAATTGATCTGGATGGCTTGGTAACCACATTTCCATTAACCACTACCAGAGTGATGATATAATAAAGGCCATGATAATTGGCTTTAAAGGTAACAGGAGGAGGCAAAGTGCTGTTGAATTCCTCGAATTCAAAGAAATAATTTTTGGATTCACCAGTTATCTTCACAACATACACAGATCCGGAACTGGCGACATCCGAAGCTTCTAAAGAGACAACGATGTTATTATCATCTTGGACAGTCACATGGAAAGCTGTAGCATTCTGTTTAAGAAAAAAAGAAAGGAAATACATGTCAACTTCAGATTATGAGTAAAAAAATTATGTGATTTATCTTTCTAAACCAATGCTTCCTGGGAGTGAAAGTGCACACCTGCAATCCCAGCACTCTGAGGAACTGAGGCATGTACATTGCAAGTTTGAGCTAAGCTGGACTATTTGTCTGAAAAACAAAACAAAAAATTTTAAAGGGATTTAGTATATAACTCAGTGCAAAGGTTCTGGATTCATTCCCTGGTACTGCAAAAAAAATAAAATAAAAGCAAAATATAAAACTAAAGCTCACATTAACCATTGCTTCTTGAAATAGAGTCACACAGATATTTTATTTTATTTTTGGAATTCAATAATGGCTGTTACCTTGCATATTGTTGTCTTCAAATCAGTCGTTCAGATTACCAATTATAAGCATGTTACATAGGTGTTTTAGTAATACAAGAAAATCAGAAGGAAGACACACTGTTCCTCTTCTGATGAATGATTAACCCAGAATTTTAGTTGAGGATTTTTCTCCCATGAAGAGCAATATCTAGTTCAGACACTGAGTCATTTGGTAGACACAAAAGCATCAAAGAGTGAGATGATCTCGACATTCAGTATCTAGGAAGATCTTTGGGCTCAGCAAGGAGCATTCCTCTCATTCTAGGTGTGAGGCTGTGGCGACACTGGGAAACTTCCAGGACATCACAAGATAATTATTTCCTCTCCCGCTTTTCAATTGTCAGCTATGAAATGATGAAAAAGTGCGGACTGAGATGCCTGTGAAAATCCTGCTTTTTAAAGTTTAATCAGCTCTTAGTAATGGAAGTTGAGGGATCAGGCAGAAGATCTAAGGCACTTGAGGGAAAACTACCTGTACTTGTACTGAAAATTTTGCTTCAAGTCTCCAGAAAAAGGTTTTTTTAAAATTTATTTATTTATTTATTATTATTATTATTATTATTATTATAATTTTTGGTGCTACCAGGGATTGAACTCTGGACCTTATGCTTGCCAGGAAAGCACTTATTTCACTGAGCTGTCTCTAATGCTGTTTTGTTTTTTTTTTTTTAAAGAGAATTAAAAAAATAAAATCCAGCACCTGCCTGGCAAGCTTAGGGTCCTGAGTTCAATCCTGGGTACTTCAAAAAAAGAAGAAAGAAAGAAGAGAGAGAGAGAGAGAGAGAGAGAGAGAGAGAGAGAGAGAGACAGAGACAGAGACAGAGACAGAGAGACAGAGAGAGAGAGACAACAAGTGACATAGAAAAAGAAAAAAAATCCAATGAAAAGATACAGAATGCAAGATGACAGGAAACTAACAATGATTGTTATATAGCATATTGGTATTTTCAAAGTAGCTGTTCAGATTACCGGGTATAGGCAAGCAAAACTGAGCAAACAATGAAAGCTTAACTGTTTCTTTCAATAAACCAATAGAAATTAATACCACAATTATCTCAGCTGTCTTGTCTCGCTTTTATTCCTCTTCCTTCTTTCTTTTCTCCTTTTCCTCATCCAAGTTGTTCTTTTGAGAAGTTTCTTTCCCTTTTACAGTATCTATTGTACCTTTTGGATTTTATTTACTATTTCAGTTTTTTTTTTTAACACTATGGAGACAATAGGATGTTTACGCACATGGGTTTGATTTATTTCACTTATGAGTATGGTCTCTAATTGCATCCACTTTCCTATAACAGCCTCAAGTTTATCTTTGTTATAGCTGAGTAATACTCCATTGTATAAAAATACCACATCTTTTCTATCATTTCCTCAGTTAATGAGTATTTGAGTTGTTTTCCAAGATGTAGCTATGTCAAATTGTGCTGCTATAAACATGGGTGGACATATATCATTGTGGTATGTTTTCAGTTCTTCAGGAAAAATACTCAGAAGGAGAATAGCTGGGTCAAATGGGGCCTCTGCTCCTAGTTTTTTGGGGAATGTTCACACTGATTTCCACTCTACATTCCCATCAACACTGGAGAAGGGTTCATTTTCCCCTGCAGCCTTGTCAGCATTTGTTGTTAGTTGATTTCTTGATGATAGCTGTTCTCTCTGGGGTGAGATGGAATCTCAATGTTGTTTGAATTTTCATTTCTTGAGTGATCAGTGATGTTGAGCAATTTTTATATATTTATTTGCCATTTGTATGGCTTTATCTGAGAAGTGTGTGTTCATCTCAGGTGCCCATTTTTAAAAATTGAGTTTTTAAATTTAAAAAATTTATGATTCTTTTTTAAAATTGTGTGCTCTAGATAGATGTTCTTTGTCTGAGGGACAGTTGGCTAAATTTGTTTTTTCCCAATTCATGAGTTTTCTTTTCACTCTTTTGGTGATTTCTTTTGATGTGCAAAAACTTTTCAGCAAGGTGAAATCTTAATTGTTAACTCTTGAACTATTTCCCATGCAGTTTGGTTTTTAGTTATTATTATTGAGTCATTTTAAAAATTTTTTATTTTAATTAATTAATTAATTAATTAATTGTTGTACCAGGGATTGAACTCAGGACCCAGGCAAGTTCTTTTGCTGCTGAGCTATCTCCCTGGCTTTTTTGTTCATGAACTCTATACCTACTACTATGTATGTCTTTAAGAGTTCTGCCTACTCTAACTTTTTTTTTTTTTTTTTTTTGGCGGAACTGGGGATTGAACTCAGGCCCTTGTACTTTAGAGAAGAGTCTACAGGGTGTTCAGGGTCTCACTACTAGATTGGACTTGTAGTGATCTGCCTGTTTACAGCCTCCCAAGAGCTGGGATTACAAGAGCACATCACCAAGCCCAGTCTCAGTGTGCCCCAAGCGTGGGACCAGCGCCGCAGGTCCGGGGATTGAACCTCTGTTCCCTGTGCCTGTGCCTACTCTCTACTCTAGGAGATTCATTGTTTCTGTTTTAATATTTAAAACTTTGATCTGGGCCGGCAAGATAGCTCAGCAGACTAAACTTCTGCTTAGGCAAGCTCAGGGACTGGGGTTCAAACCCCTTTACCTCGTGCCACACTGGCCCCATTCCTGGCTGCACTGAGCTGGTGGCCGAGTCTGGACATAGGGGCCCATGCCTATAATCTCAGTGCTGGGGAGGCTGAAAACCAGAGGATCACTACAAGTCCAAGTTCCTGTGCAGTGAGACCCTGTACCAAATACATAAATTTATTTTTTATTATTTTTTTCCATAATTTTATTGAGAAACAAATAGCAATAAGACAGTTTCGAACCAAATTGGTAGGACAGTTTCAATAATTAACACATTGCATACATTCTTCCTAGTGGTTAATTGCTATACAAGATGCAGACATAATATCCACCAACAAACACCATTAGAACAAATCCCTCTATTCATTAAGAGAGTGTAACTATATATCTATCCTAACCACTTTGAATACACAGATACAAAATGGACATTCATCTCTATCTCCTTTTTTGGTTAAGTTCTGTTATTTGAATGTGTAAACTCAGCAAAATATTCAAAAAGAGTCCAGTTGCCTGTAATAGTATTAGGTCTTCCACTTGACTGAAAATGTCAGAAATTGTTGACCTGAGTCCCTTACAGCTCAACATAACAGCATGGCTTTACTTCTCATATTTCGTTTTTATACTTTTCTGCTGGATGGTGAAGACCAAGGTAAAGCAGGATCTATACAACAAGAGTTGTAGCTTTTGGGTCTGATAAGGTCAGTGAAATTCCCTCAGGATTTGTCCTGAGATCCTGTACCTCAGATTGTAGATCCTCTGTCAGTGTCAGCCATGTGGATGAGTCATGGCCATTGCTTGGCCAATGTGCTCTCTGTGAAAGCCTGAGAGAAAGTTTTCTCTCCATATGACTCTCTTTAGGCACACAAATACATAAATTAAAAAAAATCTTTGATCTACATTGACTGTTGTTTAGTGTATGGTAATAGACAAGTATCCACTGTTGGCTAGTGGAAAATCAGTTTTTCCAGCATCATTGATTAAAGAGGCTATCTTTCTTCTAGTGAACATGTTTGGCCCCTTTGTCATAGATAATGTGGCTAGGCATGTTTGAAGTCATGTCTGTATCTTCTAATCTATTCCTTTGATCCTCACGTCTATTTTTCTGCCAGTGCCATGCTGATTTTATTACAATGTTTTTGTAGTATAATTTTGAATCAGGGATTGTGATCATCCCTTGTCTTTGTTGCCTGGGATTGCTCTTGGTGTTCTAAGGCTCTTCTGGTTCCGGATGAATTTTAGGAATGTTTTCTCTAGCTCTGTGAGTTATATTAATGGTATTTCAATTATAATTGCATAGAACCTGTATAACAGCTTTGAGAGTATGGCCATTTTCACAATGTTGGTTTTGTTATCCATGAACAATAGATAAAATGTATAACCAGTATTTGGCTTTGACTTTGCTTCTGGATTCTGTTCTAGACTCAATATGCAGAAATATATCATATCTGCTCTTAGTCAAGACTCATGTGCTTATTATTTTTTTTCCTTTATGTTCTGTACATCTAGTGTCCTGCTTTGAGTCTCAGATTTCTTATTTATCTATTCATTTGTCAATTTATTTATCTTTTTGTGCAGTGTCTTGCTATGCAGTTCAGACTAGCCTTGAGCTCACTGTGTAGCACAAGCTGGTCTTGCACTCACAATCATCCTCCTTCCAGAGCCTCATGAGTTCTGGGATGACTAGTGTGAGCTCCTATGTCCGGCCATATTTCCCTTTTACAATAAGGGTGCTGAAGAATTGCTGAAATGATTAACTGTCTACAAACATCCAGGCACTATGATAGGTACTCGCCAAATTAAAAAGTGTATGATTAATCAAATTATCTATTTCATCTTCAAATTAACTCCTTTTATATTCAAAATGATTTTGTTGAAACAAAAACTAGTTTTTAAATCTAATTTTGTAGATTAGAAAACGCAGGCCATTTGCCTCAGGTCAAGAGTACCACAAAAAAATGAGCCTCCACATGTCTGTTTGTCATCCCTTCCTGAGTTATTTTGCTTCTCCCCCCCTTTTGGTACTGCAGATTGAACTCAG